GCCCTGACCCTGCTCCTGTTTCCTTTTCTGGCCTGTCTCCCCCTCCATCTCTCACCAAAACTGAAGTCCTTGCCACCTAGACTTTTAACCTGCTGTTGCCTATACTTGCAAGGTTCTCTCTCCAAAGGAGGGAAACTCCTACTCATCTTTGAAAGCCTCACCTAAGTATCACCTCCTCCTTCCCAGATTTCTTCAGGCAGCTGTCTAGCTTTCCTCTATGCTTCTGCAATAGCTCTGCAATAGCAGTGTTCACCCATCATCTTATTTGTCAGTTTATACCGCTGTCTTCCATCCTACACCAGACGTTGCCAACATACTTGAGTCCGAGAATTCCTTTTTAATATCCGAGAAATTCAGGATCTCCATATACGCCAATCAAATATTTAATGACCAAGAGTCACCATGAATTCAGTATAGCTTATAAACACAACTGTATTTTAGTCAACACCATGCCATCTACACATATTTGAAAACAATGCTGCACGTAGGTATATGTGTTACAGACTCTGTGGACTCTAAGGCTCCAGAGCCTCCAGTATGGAAGCAATTGCTCTGCTCAGCAAGTGAGTTTTTTGATTAAATGAAAGTAACATTCATTGACCTTATTATATTCCAGAGGTGTGCCAGTCACTTTTCATTTTCATCTCCTTCAAAGCTCAAAAAAATCTGTATTCTTCAGACAACAAAACAGAGGTCTGAGAAGCTAAAGTGCCTCATCCGAGGTCTCACAGTGAATGAGAGGCAGAGCAGGGATTTGGTTCTTGATTTTTTTCTGCTCTGCCACTCTGCCTCTGGTCAAGACCACAACAAGTTCATCTCTGAGTTTCCGGTGCTCCCTCATGGCAGTGCTCAGGAGGAATGAATAACACAAACCCAGAGAGCCCTTCTCTACAGTCTCAGGCCCTCCAGCTTGTACCCACCCCAGCCAGAGACCTTCCCAGTTGTAGGCAAGCATAGGAGCCCCTTATACATCAAAGAACCAGAGGTGCTGGGCAAAACTCTATGATGGCAAAGCATGGCCCACTTTTCCCTTTTTTTTTTTTTTTTTTTGAGATAGGGTCTCACTCTATTGCCCAGGCTGGAGTGCAGTGGCGTTACCAAAGCTCACTGCAGCCTCAACCTCCCAGGCTCAAGCGATCCTACCCCCAGCCTCCTGGGGAGCTGGGACTATAGGTGCACACCACCACACCTGGCTAATTTTTAAAATAACTTTTTGTAGAGGCTGGGTTTCACTATGTCGCCCAGGCTGCTCTCATGCTCCTGGGCTCAAGTGATCCTCCCACTTCAGCCTCCCAAAGTGCTGGGACTATAGGCATGAGCCACTGTACCTGACCCTGCTTTTCCTTTAAGTGCTATTTCCTTCATTTAATGGGTATTCCTTGTCCTGAACTCTAAGCCCCTTCTCTTCATTACCACCCCTCATACCCACTTCCCTCCCTCTCCCAAAATTCCTGCCCATATTCACTGCAGCTCTCTATCCTCTAACAGTTTCCCCAAACTAGTTCCCACTAAGTTCATACGGCCTGGTAATAGTTACATGTGGCTCCCACATCCCCCTCAACTGGACACTTGTGTATTAAGCCAAAGGAGAGACTTTGAAAAAATTCTGATCAGTACGCCATGGGAGGAAGAGAATGGGCTTCAAAGTCGGACAAAGCCCAGTTTCAATCACTGGTTCTGCTACTTCCTTTTTGAATGACCTTGGGCAAATCACTTAATTTCTCTGAGCCTTAGTGTCTTCATCTGAAAAATGAGGATAATAAAACCTACCTCATAAGGTGAATATACAAAGACCTTACAATCTTGGACTGTATAGTGGGTTGAACAGTGGCCCTCCAAAAGATGTCAGTCAATGCCTTAACCCCCAGAACTTGGGAATGTGACCTTTCATGGAAAAAGGGTCTTTGCGCATTTAATTAAAGATTTTGACATAAGAAGCCTGCCCTAGATTATCTGAGTTAGCCTAAATGCCATCACAAGAGAAAAGCAGACGGAAATGTCACACACAGACAGAAGAGGAGGCAGCAATGTGACCATGAGGGCAGGGACTAGAGTGATATGGCCACAGGTCAAGGAATGGCAGCAGCCACCAGAAGCTGGAAGGGGCAAAGAACAGATTCTCCCCTAGAGCCTACAGACAGAGCTTGGCAGATGTAATCAAGTTAAAGACCTTGGAATGAGCAGTCTCTTCTTTATAAGAGGAGGAAGAAAAGATGCAGTCACACAGAGAAGGCCACGTGAAGACAAAGGCAGGGTTAGGATTTTTGTAGCCATAAGTCAAGGAATGCCTGAAAACACCAGAATATGGAAGAGGCAAGGAAATATTCTCTCCTAGAGCCTCCAGATGGAGCATGGCCCTGCTGACGCCTTGATTTCAGACATCTGGCCTCCAGAAGTAAGACCATAAACATGAGAGAATAAATTTCTATTGTAAGCCACACAGACTGTGGTACTTTACTATTGGAGACTAATAATTTTTAGTTCAATAATATTAGTAATTATTCATATTATGTATACTAATACACACTATCTCTTTAACTTATCACATATCATCCCTCATCTCCGGCTTTATGCCAAAGCCATACAAACTGCTTTACAAGAATGCAAGCTTTGGGAGAATGGAACCTTGTCTGACTTGGTCATTATCAAAACCCTAATGATTAGCATGGGACCAGATAGATAGCAGGTGCTCCATACATTTTTTTTTAAATAAATGAATTGCAGTTCCTCAAACATAATACGCTATGTCATGCCTCCATGTCTTTGCACATGCTGTTCCTTCCCTCTGCCTAGAATGCCCTCCTCATTCCCTTACAAACTCCTATAAAATTATCCTTCAAAAGTCTACTCAGATATCACCTCTTCTCTGTGTTCCTTTCCTTACCACATCATCTCTCTACATTAATACCATGCCATGTACATTGCTCTAATACAGCATGTTTTACATTGCACTCCAATCATGTGTATATGTGTTCATCTCACTGACAAGACAAGAGCTTCTTAGAGGGCAAGAATTTCATGTGATTTACTTCTTCTAAGTCCTCAGCATCCACAACACAGGGCACAGCTACATACACGTAGAGCTTCCCCCTCCTTCCATATATTCCAGCACTGACAGGGCATCTCTTCCCCAAAAGGGGCAAATCTTATCATCCTGAGACCCAGAAATAAGCCTAGAAGATCCAAAGAGTCCATGAGCCCTTTCTAGACCTATTTCTAAACTCCTTCTAAACAGAAGCCATAGAGAGAACCCTGTGACTGCAGAATCCTGGGAATGGTATTGTTTAATTAAACAGAGACTCAAGTCACCAGCATCTGGCTTGGGCTGGGCCTCTGGGACCTGAGCAAGCAACATTTCATCATTAGGAGGAAAGGAGATGACAAACTCTTTCCTGAAAGAACCCAGCAGGCAGGCAGCAGAATTACTGGATGTAGATAAATAAAACCATTATTTCCAAATACATATCCCAGGCAGCACTAAATGCATTCTCCGTATCACAGGCGATACTAAATTTAGAACTGGCAGTTTGAGTCATATGCTGATTCCTAAAGAGAAAAACTAAATTCAAGGGGGAAAAATGAAGTGAAATATGAAAATAAAAATGCAAGCTTAGTCTATAAGAGCAAGGTATCAAGAGAGGTGAAGGGAAAGTTACCTGTACAGAAATTCTGGCTGAAAAGGAACTCCAGATGGGGACAGGGCAGGGCTTTGCTAGGTACCAGCAACAGCAGCCTCTGGGAAAACCTCTGGAGTGTCTCCCTGTGTAGAGTTTCAGGGAGGCAGGAGTGGAATCTGCATTTGAGCAATAATGAGGGAAGCACCCAAAGCCATCCCAAGGACCAGGGCTCGCTGTTTCCAAAGTGCTGTCACACCCACTGTCTCACTGAAGTTTTTTCCTATCCTGCAGTGAAGGTATGCCACCCTATTTTACACTGAAGAACCAAGCCTAGAGGGGTCAAGTGACTTGCCTAAGTCATACCGTCAGTGAGGAGCACAGAGATTTAATTTAATAAACTCTTTAGAATAGCTTTAGATTTCCAGAAAACTTTTAAAGATAGTACTAAGTTCCCAAATATCCCCCCAACCCCAGTGTGCCCCATTGCCAACATGTTATATTACTGTGGTACATCTCTCACAACCAAGGGACCCGCACTCGTACATAACTATTAGCCAAACTCATATTGTATTTAGATTTGGCTAGTTTCTCCCTGATGTCCTTTCTCTGCTCCAGGATACCATATTACCTTTAGTTGTCATGCCTCCTTAGTCTCCTCTGGTCTGTTATAGTTTCTCTAACTTTGTTTTTGATGAACTTGACAGTTTTGAGTACTAGCAGGTATTTTGTAGGATGTCCCTCAATTGAGTTTTTCTGATGTTTTACTCATAGTTAGACTGGGGATTATGGGCTTGGAGGAGGAAGAACACAGAGGTGAATTATCCTTCTCATCACACTATATAAAAGTTACATACTATTAACATGATTTATCACCGGTGATGTTAACCCTGACCACCTGGGAAAGAGAGTGTTTGCCAGGTTTCTCCACCGTAAGGCTATTCCTCGCCTCATCCCCCTCCCCCCGCCCCTTTCCATGCTCTACTCTTTGAAAGCAAGTTAGGTGCTCCCAGGAGGAAGAGTTTGGACAGAGCCTGAAAGGATGGATAAGATATTCAAGTGTCAAAGGACATTCCAGGTAGAGGGAACTGCAATGCAGGTAAGTGCAGGCGTATTTAGGGAACAGGGTTAGGGGCAAGGTATTGGCAAACGGGGGAAGAGAAGGCTGGGAGGGTGGCTAGGCCCAAACCAGTAGTGCCCTACAACCAAGCAGGGTCCCGGACTAATCTGAAGGCGAGAGCCACCTTCTCTCATCACCTTGCTTAGGGCACTCAGGGTGCTGCTCAGGTGCTGGGAAGCGGGACTTCTTGTGAGTGAGATGCTGTGTCCCAGCTTCTTTTAACCTCCAAAGTTCTCCTGCTCTTTGAGGCACAGACTGCTGGTTACCTGCTCACAAGCCAATCTCCTCTTCTTTCCTGGTAACAGACCTCAGATTTTATGCAGGGTGGCCATATGCCCAGGCAGAAGTCTCATTTCCCAGCCTTCGTAACAGGTTTGGCGATGTAACTAGGCTCTGGCCAATCGGTTTTAAGTTGACACTGCTGGGCACCACTTCTGGGAAAGTGCCTTAAAAAGGCCTCTTTTTGTCATTTCTCCCTTCTATCTGGCTGAATATTGCTAGTAGCCATCTTGGACCTTGAGAAAATCTTGAAGATGAAGGCCTAGGTTAAGGATAGCGAAACAGAGAGATAGAAATAATTAGGGCCCTTGATATCTGTGGAACTATTATACCAATCCTGGAGGGGATATCACCAGACCTCTCATGCGTGAATGCATTAGTCTGCTTGGACTGCCATAACAAAAAATACCACAGACTGGGTGGCTGAACCACACAAATTAATTTTCTCTCAGTTCCAGAGCCTAGAAGTCTATGATTAAGGTGCCATTTGGTTTCTAGTGAGTCTCTCCGTGGCTTGCAGATGGCTACCTTCTTGCTGGGTCCTCACACGGCCTTTCCCCTGTGTGTAGAGGGAGAGTAATTCCTAGTGTCTTTTCTGCTTCTCATAATGATGCGTCAAATCAGACTAGGGCTCTATCCTTATGACCCCACTTAACCTTCATTACCTCCTTAAATACCTTATCTCCAAACACAGTCACATTGAGGGTTAGGGATTTAATCTACACATTTTTGGGAGACACAATTCAGTCCATAATAGTGAGAGAAAATGAGTCTGTCTTGTTTAAGCCATTATTATTTCTGGTGTCTGTTACTAGCATGTACACACACTATTGCTAGACCTCCAAAGTCCAAGGAACACCTTCTAAAGCTTCCACCTTGATGGTCTTGTTAGCTGAAATTCCAAAGGAAGGAATTTCAGAGATGCCACCCTTAAGTCATTCTGAATGCTGATTCATTAATAGCTCTCATCCACTCAATTGACAAACACTTAGGCATCTACTATAGGCCAGATACTGGGTTATGTGCTAGGGACACTAAAATAAACAAAAATGGTCCTTGACATCTATGTGCTTACAGTCTTTATTGATTTACTTACTCTAAGCTCATCTCCTCTGAAAGGGTACTCCTACAATAAATAAAATAGAAGCGGAAGTTCAAAACTATGGAAAGGAGGCATATCCAAATACCAGCACTGGGAGCTTATATGCATGTTGTAATTGAGCATCCAGGTTGGCTTTAGCTTCCTAGCAGCCATGAAAGAGCAAGAGAGAGTGACTTGGTTCTTGTTTTCTGAAAGGAATATGGATCCCAATCACTCACAGAAGTCAAATGTAAGCATTTTTTTTTCTGAACAAACTCTAGTGTTTGTGGGTACCTTGAATGTCCTGGAAAGTATCATTTTCTCATCAAATCCCAATCAACAATTTCTCTAAATTCCATGTGCAGTTCATTAGATCCTATTAGATACCCATCCAGTAAAGCCAGAGAGTTCCATGGTTTACCCACCTGCTTTTGGTTTCCTATTTTAGAGCTTATTGAAGACTGTAAAGATCACTTCAAGATGGCACAGGGAACAGGGACTGGTAAATACAGAAAGCTCTGAAGCTCGGACATTAAGTGCATGATTTTAAGAAGAAGAAATAGCAAGATGATATGACCCTAGAAAAGGGCCAGGGTATATAAAAAGATGAAACACCAAGATGAAGTCAGTATAACTCACCCATAGGGTTCCCTTCTTGGTGTGTCACAACAGCCAGCATCTTATGAGAGAAAGAGTATGGGTTTGAATCCCAGCTCTGCTACTCTATAACTTGTTAGCTCTGTAATTTGGGGAGTTTCAGCAGCCCAGAGACTCAGTTTCCTCAGGTAAGATGAAAATGGCATCTACCTATCATGGGAATTAACTACCAAAACATATGTTATCTCTGCCATAGCGCAATAATGATAATGAAAGCCTACATATAAGGGCCTGATCTGTGCCAAGCACTGTATTACACACTTGACATGAATTATATCATTTAATCTTCACCATAAGGTAGATGCTATTAAAGAATTCAAAAACTGTTGGTTTCTCCCCAAAGCTATGCCAAGCCATATCCTTTGATATTTCTGAAAGGAATGTATCAGTGCTTCGAAGCCTCTTGCCAGATCCATTCCATGCAAAGCAGCTATATTGACACCAATTTTATAACCATCTGCAATCCCAAAAGTTTGCTGCAACTGGCATAGACTTTTCATTCTCAGGCTCCCCAGTGGGAGTTTGAAGAACTCAAAATCCTTCCAAGAGGCTTTTTTGTTTGTTTGTTTGTTTGTTTGAGATGGAGTCTCGCTTTGTCGCCCAGGCACGATCTCGGCTCACTGCAACCTCTGCCTCCTGGATTCAAGTGATTCTCCTGCCTCCGCCTCCTGAGTAGCTGGGATTACAGGCACACACCAACACACCCAGCTAATTTTTGTATTTTTAGTAGAGATAGGGTTTCACCATGTTGGCCAGGATGGTCTCAATCTCCTGACCTCATGATTCACGTGCCTTGGTCTCCCAAAGTTCTGGGATTACAGGCATGAGCCATTGTGCCCAGCCCAGAAAGGCTCTTTTTAACCTCCATTTGCCATGGAAAGAAAGACACTGAGGAATTTGGAGCATGCGATTCAAAATAGAGTGACTAGGCTGCAAGGATAGGGAGTGGGAGTTATTGTTTAATAGGTACAACATTTCAGTATGAGAAAATAAAAATGTGCTGGAGATGAATCGTAGTGATGGTTTTACAACAAGGTGAATGTATTTAATGTCACTGGACTGTATGCTTAAAATGGTTAAAATAGTACATTTATGTCATATATATTTTACCACAGTAAAAATAACAATAGTAATAATAATAAATAAAATAACCAGGGCTGTGAGGAATCTAAAAGTCATATATGATAGAGAATATGTGAAAGAATTCAAGCGTTCTGAAGGAAAAAATTTGAAGGCCTCTGGTTTACAGACAGGGTAATGGTACTACCTACTACTTATGAAGCACACCATATATGTCAGCACTTTACCTAGATTATCTTTATTCTCCAGCAGGGCCCTGCAAGGCGTTCCTTGCTTATAAGGATTGGGTGACCAGCCCAAGATCACACAGCTACAAAGTGGTGATGACGGCATTTGAATCCAACCAGTGTTCTTTTTTCTACACCATACTCCCTCTCTTTCAAATATTGAGTAGATATTCGGATTTTAAAATGCTGAAAATTTCTCTCAAGCCTGAAATGTTATTATTCTGAACTGGTAGGTAGAGGGTAGAAAGGTCAGATATCCATCTTCTTGAAGCCTCCCTATACTGCCAGGGTATGTAGGTAAACCTCAGCCTATTGAATCCTGCCCTCTAGGGGCAAACATTGTAAGAGGAAACTGGAGGGGCCTTGAGATCAGAACCAGAGGCAAAACCAGGTTGATGCTGCCAGGGGACTGCATCACGGCCCGTGGATCACAACCAGCTCCTATGGCTGGGGTGGGAGCCATCAGCCAACAGAAACACAAAGTAAGCTCCAAATACAGCAGCAGCTACTAAAACCATTTCTCCCCACAGTGTAGTCACCACATCCAGAAGAGGAAGAGAAAGACAATGAAACAGGAAGAATTAGAGTTGGGTGAGAAGACTCTGAAATCTGCAGTGTCTGTTCAAATCCTGGCCTATTGTTCTGTTGGTAAGACTTGTAACAGTTCTGGAGCTGGAGCACAATCTCCTATCTGCCCTGGGTGCCCTCAGAAATCCCTCTGCATTACCTCCTGCCCTTCAGTTACCTCCCTCCCACTACTGAATCTTGCCCTCCAGAAAACCAGACTTGGGAAATGATCCTCAGGTCTCAGTATCACAAACTTCCAGATAACAAACGTACTAGGCCAGAGTCAAGGGATAACTGACAAGGAAATGCGTTTTCCATAATGCTGGCTATGGATCAGAGACTCCTAGACACTGAATCTGTATTTTTCCCCACTGGATAACAATGTAAACTTGCTGACCATGAGTTTGCTTCAAAAAGTAGAAGAACTTTTTGTATAAGAAATGTTTGTGAACATTCTCTTTAAGGAAAACACAGCAACCGTAAGTTCTTCAAGAATGATGAGGCAAGCCTTGAGTGAAAAAGACCTGTGATGCTGCAAGGAGGGGCTGATTGCTGGATGCAGCAGAACTCCATTCCGCATGGATGGTGTTACCTGCAGCTACAAGTTCCACTAGGGAACCAGGGGCTGGTGAAGGCGAGGTTGAGATAACTCGTATCTACTGTATAGAGCAAGCTACCTGGACTCCTTGCTCTCAGTGTGTCTGTATTCTTGAGTGAGTAAGTCAGGAAGTTGATGTAATCTTACATGCCTGTGTGTTACAGATGAGTGTGTGCTTATGGCCTCTTTCTACCAATCCATAGATTCTCACTTCATTTCCTCTAGCTTCCTTCAAGAATTTTCTCTTTAAGCTTGTAAGCTGGGATGCATTCGTATGAGCTCCACAGATGGCCTGCACCAGCAGCAGAAGTCACTTTCTGAGAAGAGCCTTGGAATAGTGAGTGGAGCCCTGGCTGACCAGCCCTACCGTGCGGATCCAGCTGGAGTCAGCTGGGCTCTACTCCACACAGCGCACGGCTGTCGCCTGCTCACTTCAAGTGGAGGATCTGGCACTTATTTTAGGTCCTTATAAATAATACATTTTATCATCTTGATTCTTCAAGGCCTTCTTTTAAGCTATTTTTTCCTCTTTGGGAAAACCACTTTTACTCTACAAGACAGAGTTGTTCATAAATCAAGAGGAGTTCCTAGTGACCAAAGCCTAAGTTCCTGACTTCAGAAGAAGCAGGCAGCCACCCATCCTGATTAGTCAAAGCCTCATAGAAGAAGAGAATCTTATTTTAAGGATGAAAAGAAATGTCCAACATCTCTCTGATTACTTCACCTCCGACACAGACAGTCCTAGTGCCTGAGCTTTAAATACCACACTCAACCCTTGCTTCCCTGAGAGTCCCTACAAGCTCACGAAGATCATCTGTAAAATGGGGACAAGGCTTCCTGTGTAGAATTGTCCAAGTGTCTGGCATAAAGTCAAGGTTCGGTCTGTGAGCTCCCCTTTAACTCTTCTAGTCCCTTGCAACTCCCAAGAAGATACATATTTATACCTTGAAAATTGTTACTTTATTCCTTCTTCACAACTACCAATCACAGAGGAAGTGTTCTCCAATTAATATGGCACAAACAAACCTAGTAGGACAGTGATAAAGTGCTGA